TTTTGGAAGTGGAGACAGGCGTTAAACACTCAAGCAAGGTGACTTTAGAGCATGATAAAGACAGTGAGTGCACATAACAGGGCACTGTGGTTTTAAACAGGGAATGGTAAGAGGGCTGTGTGCAGATGAGGTGTACACGGGAGCGGGCTTAGGAGAAGGTGGGAAGTGAAGGAAGAGCCTCTGAAGGAATGTCGTCCATCCTGTTGACAGTGTGGAGGGACTGCTAGGCTGGAGGACTGCGTATCTGTGTGCCTGGAGCAAGCCAGCCCAGGTAGGAGAGGTCAGAGGTCAGATGGCCAGAGAAGGAAGACCTTTGAAGTGCACCCTAAGGAACATTTGTTTGTTTCTTTTTTCCAAGTGTGGAGAAAACCCCAGGAAAAGTAATGCAGCGACCCTTTCCAGGCTAGGGAATTAGTTTACAGCAGGATTTTTTTTTTCTTTTTCCTTTTAACAGAGGGCGGGTAAATGTTATATATAGGATTTTATGTAAATGGTGTTTGGTCTTATAAGGAATAACAGGAAAAATAAGTTTTCCCCTGGAAATGTCTTCCTTAAAGTTTATCTAAAAATCAAATACCATTGTATATAAAGCTGCCACTTTGCTGGGTGAGAGTGGCCTTTAACCAGCTCTTGGGAAGCAGAGGCAGGTTGAGTTCCAAGCCAGCGAGGTCAAAGAAATCCTGTCTCAAAAAGCAAAACAAAAAATAAAAACCGGTAACTTTTAGTACCTTTACCTGAACAGGAGCCTTCTCCATGTACCTTTCCTGACCCTCAGCTTCTCTGCCCAGCGTTTGAGCATACGTGAAAGGTTAGGAGGCCGAAGCTGGGTGGAAGTTTCATCTTGAGCTCTGATGGTACATGCTGGCAGCCATGTCTTGTTGATTTGTCCTCTTGTCTCTGTGCTCATTGTTAAAGTCACTGACAGGATCGTAGTGGTTAGTAATAGAGATAGGTCCCTAATTTTTCCACATATTTGCTATATGGCACCGGGATTCTTGGTCCTCATTTTTTGTATTATTGTTCCCTTTTGTATGTAATTGATTTTTTTAGTAGAATCTTTAAATTTCTCATTTCCTGTTACGTGTTCTGAAACTATTTTCTTTATGTTTACCATTGGAATTACATTTACTAACCTGCAGGAATGCTATTTGAACACTAATTTAATTTTTTAGTAACATAAAAACTCCACTTCTCTAGGTCTGGAGAGATGGCTCAGCTGTTAAGTGCACTGACTATTCTTCCAAAGGACTCGGGTTCAATTCCTGGCACCCACATAGCAGCTCACAACTGTCTGTAACTCTAAGATTTGACAACCTCACACAGACATACATGCAAATGCAGGCAAACCACCAATGCTCATAAAACAGAACCCTCTGCTTCTGGGCTGGTGATACAATATAGCTAGCTCAGTGAGAGACTTGCTTTTTGCCCAGAACCCTGTGTTCAGTCTCCAACACCAGGAAAACAAAAACTCCTTTATGGTCCTCCATCTCTTTCAGTTTGATGTCACAAGACTTTGGCCTTCATGCATGTGAGCCCCCAAACAAACCAGTTTTTTTTCTCATTGAGTTAAATAAAAAATAAAATCTGTAGTTAAATGAAATTTATATTATTTTGGCTTTTAGACAAAAATGTTTTGGACAAGCTTGTTAGTCTCTTGAAGCACACAGACAGAAACGAACGTGAGAGGAAGCGTTCCCAGCAGCATTCAGTCTGCGCAGGCGCCGCCCTGTGTCCTGCTCTGACTCCTTCCACTTCACCTCTGAAGTGTGGCTCTGTTTACAGTAGTGAACTCAGCGTCTTGTCTGACGCTGTTGTCACGCCTCTGCTTTTGAAGGACAGTTCTGCAGAATATAGGGGTCTTTGTTGACAGCATTTTTTTTTCCTCTTGGTTCTTTGAATATATTTGTCAGACTTCTGACCACAAAATCTGATGACATAGTTCCTGATGATCTTTTGAGGAACCCTCACATGAGACAAATCATTTCTCTCATGTTTCTAAATTTCTTTGTCTTTAATATTTAAATAAGGTTTATCATTTATTTACTAATGTATTTTTTGAGACAGGGCTTCACTGTGTAGTTCTGACTGTCTTGGAACCCCCCCTTTTTTTGTGGAAGGGTTATCCTCACATTTATTTATTTAATTATTTTGAATTTATGGATTTTTTTTTGTTTATTTTTTGCATGCCAATCCCAGTTTCCCCTCCCTCCTTTCCTCCTGCTCCCCGCCCTTTCCCCCACCCACTTAGAGAGGTCAAGTCTTCCCCCTGGGAAGCATGCTTTAGAGTTAGATCTTGCTGGTGGCCCTACATACTGCCCAAGCCACACCACTGTCACCTGTATTCAGGGGGTCTAGTTCGCTCCTGTGCAGGCTTCACAGCTGTCAGTCGGAGTTAGTGATCTCCCACTATTTCGGGTCAGCTGATTCTGTGGGTTTCTCCATCATGGGCTTGACCCCTTTGTTCATATTATCGCTCCTCCCTCTTCCACCGGAGGTTGCCCAGTGGTTAGTTGTGGATCTCTGTATCTGTTCCATCTACGACTGGGAGAAGATTCTAGCTTCTCTGGGATTGTGGCCTATAGGCTGGTTATCCTTTGCTTTATGTTTGGTATCCACTTATGAGTGAGTATGTTTGTCTTTCTGGGTCTGGGCTACCTCAGGATGATTTTTTTCTAGTTCTGTTCATTTGCCTGCAAATTTCAAGATTTTTTTTTTTTTTGTTTACCACTGAGTAATACTTCATTGTGTAAATATGCCACACTTTCTTTATCCATTCTTTGATTGAGGGGCATCTAGGTTGTTTTCAGGTTCTGGCTATGACAATGTTGCTGTGAACATAGTTGAGCAAATGTTCTTGTGCGATTGTGCCTGTTTTGGGTATATGCCCCAAAGAGGTATTGCTGGGTCTTTATGTAGACTGAGTCCTAATTTTCTGAGAAATCACCATACTTATTTCCACAATGGCTGTACAAGTTTGCACTCCACCAACAGTGGAGGAGTGTTCCCCTTACTCCACATCTTCTCCAGCATAAGCTGTCGTCAGTGTTTTTGATCTTAGCCATTCTGACTACTGGTGTAAGATGGTATCTCAGAGTTGTTTTAATTTGCATTTCCCAGAGGAGTAAGGGTGTTGAGCATTTGAGATTCTTCTGTTGAGAATTCTCTGTTTAGATGTGTACCCCATTTTTCAAATTGGATTATTTGGTAGGTTGATATCTAGTTTCTTGAGTTATTTGCATATTTTGGAGATAAGCCCTTTGTCAGATGTGGAGCTGGTGAAGATCTTTGCCCATTCTGTAGGCTGTCGTTTTGTTTTGTTGACTATGTCCTTTGCTTTACAGAAGCTTCTCAGTTTCAGGAGGTCCCATTTATTAATTGTTGTTCTCAATGTCTGTGCTCTTCTATGAGATTCAGTGTGGCTGGCTTTATGTTGAGGTCTTTTATCTGTATGGACTTGAGTTTTGTACATGGTGATCGATATGGATCTATTTGCATTCTTGTACATGTCAACATCAACATTTGTTGAAGATGCTTTCTTTTTCCATTTTATATTTTTAGCTTCTTTTTTTTTTTTTAAATCAGTTGTTGCCGGGCGGTGGTGGCGCCAGCACTCGGGAGGCAGAGGCAGGCGGATCTCTGTGAGTTCGAGACCAGCCTGGTCTACAAGAGCTAGTTCCAGGGCAGGCTCCAAAACCACAGAGAAACCCTGTCTCAAAAAAACCAAAAAAAAAAAAATCAGTTGTTCATAGGTATGTGGCTTAATATCAGGATCTTCGATTTGATTCCGTTAGACCACCTTTCTTTTTTTTTATGCCAATACCAAGCTGTTTTCATTACTATAGCTCTATAATACGGCTTGAACTCATGGGTGGTGATGCCTCCAGATGTTCCTTTATTGTCCAGGGTTGTTTTGGCTATCCTGGGTTTTTTGTTTCTCCATATGAAATTTCATATTGTTCTTTCGAGGTCTGTGAAGAATTGTGCTGGGATTTTGGGGATTGCATTGAATCCGTAGATTGCTTTTGGTAAGATTGCCATTTTTACTATGTTAATTCTACTTACCCATGGGTATGGGAGATCTTTACATTTTCTGATATCTTCGTCAATTTCTTTCTTCAAAGACTTAAGGTTTTTGTCATACAAGTCTTTCACTTGTTTGGTTAGAGTTACCATAAGATATTTTATGTTATTTGTGGCTATTGTGAAGGGTGATGTTTCTCTGATTCCTTTCTAAGCCCATTTATCATCTGTATAGGCGGGCTACTGGTTTTCTTTTTTGTTTTTTTTGTTTTTGTTTTTTTTTTTTTTTTGAGTTAATATTGTATCCTGCCGCTGGAGAAATGGCTCAGAGGTTAAGAGCACTGGTTAAGAGGACTCTTCCAGAGGTCCTGAGTTGAATTCCCAGCAACCATATGGTGGCTCACAACCATCTGTAATTTGATCTGGTTCCCTCTTCTGGCCTGAAGACAGAACACTGTATAAATAATAAATAAATAAATTAAAAAATGCTCATCTTGTTTAAAAAAAATATTGTATCCTGCCGTGTTACTGAACATACTTATCAGCTGTAGGAGTTCCCTGGTAGAATTTTTTGTGGTCACACACACACACACACATATATATATGTATATATATATATACTATCTTATAATCAGCAAATAGTGGAAGTTTGACTTCTTCCTTTCCAATTTGTATCCCCTTGATCTCCTGTTGTTGTCTTATTGCTCTAGCTAGGACTTTGAGTACTACATTGAATAGATATGGAGCGAGTGGACATCCTTGTCTTGTTCCTGATTTTAGTGGAATCGCTTTGAGTTTCTCTGCATTTAGTTTGATGTTGGCTGTTGTTTTGCTGTACATTGCCTTTATTATATTTAGGAATGTTCCTTGTAGCCCTGATTTCTCCGAGACCTTTATCATGAAGGGGTGTTGGATTTTGTCGAAGACTTTTTTAGTATCTAATGAGGTGATCATGTGTTTCTTTTTTTTTCTTTCAGTTTGTTTTTATGGTGGATTACATTGAGGAATTTTCTTATATTGAACCATCCCTGCATCTCTGGGAGGAATCCTACTTAATCATGGTGGGTGATTTTTGTGATGTATTCTTAGGATTCAGTTTGCCAATATTTTATTGATTATTTCTACATCAATGTTCATAAGGGAGATTGGTCTGTAATTCTCTTTCTTAGTTGTGTCTTTGTGTAGTTTGGGTATCAGGGTAACTGTAGTCTCCAAAACAGTTTAGCAGTGTTCCTCCTGTTTCTATTGCGTGGAATAATTTGAGGAGTATTGGGATTAGCTTGTCTTTGAAATTCTGGTAGAATTCTGTGCTGAAACCATCTGGTTCTTGGCTTTTTTTGGTTGGAGGCTTTTAATGACTGCTTCTATTTCCTTATGGGTTATAGATCTATTTAATTTGTTTGTCTGGTCTTGATTTATTTTGGTATGTGGTCGAAGCACACTCTTGCAGATCAGACTGGCCTTGAACTCACAGAAATCCACCTGCCTCTCAAGTGCTAAGATTAAATTGTGTGTCACCAATGCTAGGCTAGGGTTTTTTTTTTTTTTTTTTTTTTGATTTTTCGAGACAGGGCTTCTCCGTAGCTTTTGGTTCCTGTCCTGGAACTAGCTCTTGTAGACCAGGCTGGCCTCGAACTCCCAGAGATCCGCCTGCCTCTGCCTCCCAAGTGCTGGGATTAAAGGCGTGCGCCACCACCGCCCGGCTAGGCTAGGGTTTTTAAAAATTTTTTTAATTGATATTTATTGAGCTCTACATTTTCTCTGCTCCCCTCCCTGCCTCTCCATTCCTCCTTCAATCCTCCCCCAAGGTCCCCATGCTCCCAGTTTACTCAGGAGATCTTGTCTTTTTCTACTTCCCATGTAGATTAGATCTATGTATGTCTCTCTTAGTGTCAGCATTGTTGTCTAAGTTCTCTGGGATTGTGATTTGTGGGCTGGTTTTCTTTGCTTTATGTTTTAAAACCACCTATGAGTGAGTACTTGTAATAATTGTCTTTCTGTGTCTGGGTTACCTCACTCAAAATAATGTTTTCTAGTGGTTTATTATTTTTAAGTTTAAGACCTATACGTATGTGCAACATGTATATGCCATGCCTGACAAGGCAGAAGATGGTGTTGGATTCCAGGAACTGTAGTTACACATTTCTGTGAGCTGCCGTGTAGGTGCTGGAAACTGAACCTTGGTCCTGTAGTTCTAACCACTGAGCCATCTTTCCAGCCCTGTCTATAGTTTTTAAAAGTATGGTTATATTGTGTGTTATTGTGTGGTTCTCTTTGAGTTCAGTTTACTTGGAATTTATTAACTGTATTGGAAATTGTTTTTCTCTGTTTTTGAAAAAGGGTCTGAGCAGCCGGGTGGTGGTGGCGCACGCCTTTAATCCCAGCACTCGGGAGGCAGAGACAGGCGGATCTCTGTGAGTTCGAGGCCAGCCTGGTCTACAAGAGCTAGTTCCAGGACAGGAACCAAAAGCTACGGAGAAACCCTGTCTCGAAAATAAAAAATAAATAAAAAAGAACACTTGTGAAAAAGGGTCTGAGCTATGTAAACCAGGCTGGCTCCTAGATACTGGAATTAAAGGCGTGGACCACTGCCGGGTGGTGGTAGCTCACACCTTTAACTCCAGCACTCTGGAGGCAGAGGCAGGCAGATCTCTGAGTTCTAGGCCAGCCTGGTCTAATGAGCAAGTTCTAGGACAACCAAAGCTACACAGAGAATCCGTCTTCCAAAATAAAAACCAACAACAACACAAAATACAAGCTATCATACCCATCCTTTTAAAAAAATGTCCATCCATCCATCCATCCATCCATCCCACAGAGATCTATCTGCCTGCCTCTGACTTCTGGATTAAAGGTCTACTCAGCCTTAGTTTTTTTAAATTCGTTGATTTTATTTATTTATTTTCTTTTATGTGCATTGGTGTTTTGCCTGCATGTATGTCTGTATGAGTGTATCAGAGCTTTTTTTAAAAAAATATTTATTTATTATGTATACAATATTCTGTCTGTGTATATGCCTGCAGGCCAGAAGAGGGCACCAGACCAGATGGTTGTGAGCCACCACATGGTTGCTGGGAATTGAACTCAGGACCTTTGGAAGAGCAGGCAATGCTCTTAACCGCTGAGCCATCTCTCCAGCTCTGTATCAGAGCTTTGAGTTACAGACAGTTGTTAACTGCCATGTGGGTGCTGGTAATTGAATCGGGATCCTCTGGAAAGAACTGTCAGTGCTCTTAACCACTGAACCCTATCTCTCCAGCTCTTTAGTTTTGTTTTTTAAACTTTATATTTCTTACTCCTGAAGGGGAGTGTCTTAGGGTTTCTTTTTTGTTGCTTTTTAAAAGATTTATGTATTTATTATGAATACAGTATTCTGTCCTCATGTATGCCTGCATGCCAGAAGAGGGTACCAAATCTCATAGATGGTTGTGAGCCACCCTGTGAATGCTGGGAATTGAACTCAGGGCCTCTGAAAGAGCAACCAGTGTTCTTAACCTCTAAGACATCTCTCCAGCCCTTAGTTAGGGTTTCTATTGCTATGATGAAACACCACAACCAATGCAAGCTGGCGAGGAAAGGGTTCCGTATGGCTGTTCATCATTGAAAGAAGTCAAGACAGGAACTGTAACAGGGCAGGAACCTGGAAGCAGGAGCTGATGCAGAGGCATGGAAGGGTGCTGTTTACTGGCTTGCTTCCCCTGCTTTGCTCAGCATACATTCTTACAGCACTCAGGACCACCTGCCCGGGATTGGTCACACCCAGCATGGACTGGGCCTTCCCACATCAGTTACTCACTAAGGAAATACTCTACAGGCGGCCCCAGACCTTAATTGAGGCATTTTCTCCATTGAGGCCCCTTCTCTCTGGTGACTAGCTTGTGTCAAGTTGGCATAAAACTTGGCAGCACAAGGAGGTACAGTGCCACCACTCTAGAACCTTTTGGTTGGGGCTTCAGAGATGCGTCATCAGTCAGGAGCCTTTCTGGAGGACCTGTGCTTGACCCCAGTGCACATGGTTCCTCACAGCCTTCTGTCACTCCAGTTTCAGGGGTGCACCCTCCCCTCCTTTTAAAAATAATAATAAAAAGGAAGGCCTTTTGGTTGATTGGAACATAGGCTGTGCATGTTGGATCTGACCTTACTTAGTTGTTATTTAGTGATTCCTTAGCCTTCTAGAAGTAGTGATTTTACGTCTGTGGAAATGTGCCATCAGCCATTGAAGATGATTTGTTTTATTAAGTATTTACTGTCTGAGTTATACTTATTTAAGGCAAAATGTTTCTTTGTTTTGTTTTAAATAGAATTGTGTTAATACTTAATTTTTTTCCTTTCCACCAATAGTTCCAGAGAACTGCTGGTTTAGATTTTAGCTCTTGACGAGTTGGGAAAGCAGTGAAGGATGCTTAGACTACTTAACGTTCAAATTGTAAGTAAAGCTTATTTCTGTTTATTATATTTGTTTGGAAGACAGATTTTAGAAATAGTAACAGGGAGCTTTAGTTGATGGGATTGTGGATTTTTCTTCAGTTAATTTCTTTCTTTTTTTTTTAAAGTTTTATTTTTTATACACTGTTCTGCCTCCAACATGTATGCCTGCATGCAGAAGAGGGCACCAGATCTCAGTACAGGTGGTTGTGAGCCAGCATATGGTTGCTGGGAACTGAACTCAGGACCTAGAAGAGCAGCCAATGCTCTTAACTTCTGAGCCATCTCTCCAGCTCCTTCTGTAGTCTTAAGATATTAACACTTCCTTTTTAACTTTCTGCCTAAGATGCAAAAGAAGTTCCTGGAGAGATTGTCCAGTGGCTAAGGACACTTGCTGCTCTTTCAGAAGACCTGGGTTCAGTTTTTTACACCCACGTCCAGCAGAAGGCAACTGTCTATACTCCAGTTCCGGGGACCTGACTCCCTCTTCTGGCCTCTGCATGCATTTGCATTCACATGGTGCTCATACATATACTCAGGCACACACACATACACATTAAATAAACAAAAAATATGTATAAGATGAATTTTCTACTTTTTTTCCAGGTACTTCATTTTATAGTAAACAATTACAAAAATTCCTTATTATTTATTTCTATTTGGTATGATGCAGTAGTCAGTTATGAGCGTGAGATTAATGGAATAATTTATTAGAAGTATTGGTTTCCTGCTGGAACAATGGCTCAGTGGTTAGGAGCCCTGGCTCTCCTTCCAGAGGACCCAGTTTCAATTCCCAGCACCCACATGGCAGCTCACAGCTGTCTGTAACTCCAGTTCCAGGGATTCTGACAGCACACACAGACATACATGCAGGCTAAATAAAGTATAAATAAATACATTTTGACAAAGGAGGAGGAAGGAAAATTTAAGAAGCCCCTCTAAGGTGATGTCTGTAAAGGCAGCAGTTCTGTAAACCCCACAGCCCAGTTTTAGCACCAGCGTGTTCAGTGCTTAAAAGAGTTTAAAAATTGCTTTTAAAAAAGATTTTTTGGGGAGCTGGAGAGATGGCTCCGAAGTTAAGAGTACTAGCTGCTTTTCCAGAGGTCCTGAGTTCAATTTCCAGCAGCCACATGGTGTTTTACAACCATCTATCATGAGACCAGGTGCCCTCTGCTGGCCCGCAGGGATACGTGCAGACAGAACATTGTATACATAATAAACAAATCTTTTTAAAAAGATGTATTTTTAAGTACGTGTGTGTCTGTGTGTGAGTGTCTGAGAAGGAAGCGTTGGCTCTGCCTCCCTTGCTGGGATTAGAGGTGTGCGCGAGCACCGCTAGGCTGAATTCATCACTCTTTTTTTCTTTTTGTTTTGTTTCTGTGTAGTCCTGGCTGTCCTGGAACTCACTGTGCAGACCAGGCTGGCCTCAAACTCCCAGAGATCCGCCTGCCTCTGCCTCCCAAGTGCTGGGATTAAAGGTGTGCGCTACCACCTCCTGTCTGAACTCATCACTCTTTTTTTTTTAAGATTTATTTATTTATTATGCATACAATGTTCTGTTAACATATATACACCAGAAGAGGCACCAGATCTCATTATAGATGGTTGTGAGCCACCATGTGGTTGCTGGGAATTGAACTCAGGACCTCTGGAAGAGCAGCCAGTGCTCTTAACCTCTGAGCCATCTCTCCAGCCCCTGAACTCATCACTCTTAACCAATGAGCTGTATCCCTATCCGAGATTAAAATAAAAATCTGGCCAAGCATTGGTGACGTTCACCTTTAATCCCAGAACTCTGGAGGCAGAGGCAGGTGGATCTCTTTGAGTTTGAGATAGCCTGATCTACAGAGAGAATTCCATGACAGCCAGGGCTATACAAAGAAACCCTGTCTCAAAAAAACAAAACAACAACAAAATCTGTTAAAAAAGCCAGGCGGTGGTTCAGGCCCTTAATCCCAGAACTCTTGGAGGCAGAGACAGGAGGATCTCTGAGTTCGAAGGCAGCTTGGTCTATAGAGTGAGTTCTGGGAGAGGCTCAGAAGCTCCAGAAAAACCCTGCCTTGAACCAACCAAAACAAACAAATTCTGGTATAATATTGCATCTCCATAAAAGAAAGAAGTGCTAATTTTATGTATATGGGTGTCTGGCCTGCGTGTACGTCTGTGCACCGTGTGTGTGCACCTGGTGTGGAGGCCAGAAGAGGGCGTTGGAACTCCTGGAACTGTAGTTGTAGATGGTTATGAGCTGCACTGTGGATGCTGGGAACTGAACCTGGGTCCTATGGAAGAGTAGCCAGTGCTCTATTTATTTATTTATTTATTTATTTATTTATTGATTATGTATACAATATCCTGTCTGCATGTATGCCTGAAGGCCAGAAGAGGGCACCAGACCTCATTACAGATGGTTGTGAGCCACCACGTGGTTGCTGGGAATTGAACTCAGGACCTTTGGAAAAGCAGGCAATGCTCTTAACCGCTGAGCCATCTCTCCAGCCCGCCAGTGCTCTTAAGTGCTGAGAAATCTCTCCAGCCCAAGGAAGTTTTAGCATTATGTCTTTTATAATACAGTACCCATCCTTATACAGTAGCTTGGTAAAATATTGTTTGATAAGTTAATGAATTTGAATCTCAAATTTTTAAGTAGAGTGCTGTTTAATTCCTTCTTTTGACACAGTCGTAGAGGCCTATATCCTTTTTAACTAAACAGTTAAATTGCTTTATATCTTAACTATATGTTTTTAACAATTTCAATTTTTCCTCTTTTTAGACCCTCCGGTTTATCATCTTTAGAAGACTAGACTTCTGGATGTCTAATCTACTGCGTCTCTATTGAATTAAACCATGAAAATGAAACCTATAGCCCTGGCCATCATCTATGAACTCTAATTACATTGATTCGTACCATTTGAAACTTCCTCAGGGAATAAAAAATGACATCGGCAGTGGTTGACAGTGGAGGTTCTGTTCTGGAGCTTCCCAGCAATGGAGTAGAAAATCAAGAGGTTAGGCATTTACTGTATTTTATCTCTGTTTTGTTAATAGAAATCAATACATGAGTTAATCTTGACATAATTCACAGAAACGGGTATTTGAGAGTAGAAATGTACAGTGCAGAAAATTGTGCAGGTGTTTTTTTTTTTTTTTTAAATTTATTTATTTATATATTATGTATACAATATTCTGTCTGTATGCCTGCAGGCCAGAAGAGGGCGCCAGACCTCTTTACAGATGGTTGTGAGCCACCATGTGGTTGCTGGGAATTGAACTCAGGACCTTTGGAAGAGCAGGCAATGCTCTTAACCACTGAGCCATCTCTCCAGCCCCCTGTGCAGGTGTTTTTATGTCAGTAACAGTGAACGGATGATGCAAGATGTGTGTGCTAGGATGAGTTTGGAATAGGAAAGAGAAGGAAGAAGGATGTTACATTAGTTTAGATAACAGTTAAGTTTCTGGCTGGGTGGTGGCGGCAGATGCCTTTAATCCCAGCACTTGGGAGGCAGAGGCAGGTGGATTTCTGTGAGTTTGAGGCCAGATTGGTCTATAGAGAGAGTTCCAGAACAGCCAAGACGGTTGCACAAAGAAACCCTGTCTGGAAAAAAGGAAACAAAGTTTCTGATAATATCTATTTTCTTAGATTATGGAGAGTGAGAAATAATGTATTTAAATACCAAAATTGCGGTCCTCTTAAGTTAGAAGCTTTCCTTTGCTTTCTGTATTATCTTTATTTCTTAGTTATTCTGTTATGTCTAATTCAGGACTGATATTTTAATCTAATATGTGCAGTTACGTATTTAGCTAGAAAATGTTTTGGATCTCACGCAGGTAGGATTTTGAGTCTCTAAGTGTGATTGGTCGTTTTGTTGTTACAGATAGATAGCACTGAAGGAAGAGGCAGGAGCAGAAAGCAGATTTTCTCCTCTGCTTTCTCTTCCCACCCTTGGGTAGAGACTGAGTATGGAAACAATGCAGTTGTAACAGTGCTGTCGTGCAGGTGTCTGGTTAGCGGCACCTTGGGAGTCTCTTCTCTGTGAGATGCTGCTGTCACTGGGGTTGGTGCCCTGATAATGAATGGATCAGGTCCTGCCTGATAACAGTGAGGACACTCGTGTATGTGCTGTGATCTGGAGCATTTTCCTTTCTTGCTGTCTGTTCGGTCTGTAAGACACGGATCTACTGTGGGAAGACTCATGGGACATACTTTTCTTTTGTCAGTGCTTTTGCTAAGTCCTACATGTTCCCTTTGTATTTAAAGACTTCTTCTAAAATGGGTCAGAGTCCATTAGAGGAAGTCCAGGAGATCAAGCCCAGGGTGGGCTCTCTCATCTGATATCACCCAGTGAATGCTGCTTCTCTTTCAAATTATTTTTCTGTCCCCTATAGCTTTGTGGTGTTGGTGTTTACCATGTGAGGAGAGCTGCCATGGACAGTGGATTTGCAGAGTATATTTATGTTTTATAGATTAAAAAGATAACAGTATAGAGGACAAGGATCTAGGTTTGTTTTCAGAAACTTCCTTTACTTTTTCCTCCTTTATATGGAATCCCAAAGATTTCTGGTCAGAACATAGCATGGAGGAAAAAATTGTGAATTTATCAAGTTATTATTGACTAATGATTAATGTGGTATAACAGGGCTGTTATATTCTATGGAAGGGTGTCAGAAGAAGCCGGCCTGCTTAGTGGACATTTGAAGTGCTGTGGTGCCAGCATGGGAACAACTTTCTGTTCAAATTCCACAACTGTTCATCAGTCCTTTTAGCAGTTATTAGCCAACTGCTTCATTATGGATCAAATCCCTTTTCTTTCTCTTTCTTTCTTCCTTCCTTTCTTCCTTAAGACAGTTTCTCTGTATATCTCTCTCTGGCTGTCCTGGCACTCGCTCTGTAGACCAGGCTGGCCTGGAACTCACAGGGTTCCTCCCACCTCTGCCTCCCTAGCATTGGGATTGAAGGCGTGCAGCACTTTGAGTGACATGGAAACATTTCAGCAGACTCCATCTGAAGCAGAACGCATCTGATGGGAAAGGAATCCCAGCTAGCTCCTAAAATATACTAAGGTTTTCTCTATTAAAAGGGAACACACGGATCACCACAAGGAAACAACAGGAATGGGGAGCGAGAGAGCTACAGGATAGTCCTGCTGGCCTTTTGGTACCAAAGCCACTCCCTACCTGGTCCAGCCTATCAAAGGCCATTATTGAAGGAGGTTCCCCATCATCTACCTCTGGATGTTGCCACACTGAGGACCAAGCTTCCATTACTTGAGCCTTTGCAGGAAGGTGCACTTAAACCTTATTGAAGCCATGGGCATCTTTAGAAAATATAAAACAGTAAGATGACAGTGTCTTATTAAAATAGGAAGAGGGGCCAGGCAGATGGCTCCGTAGCTAAGAAGGCTCTGAGGGAGGTAGGAGGCTCACTGGGATGTGTTGGCTTGCAGAGAAAGCTGAGGAAACATGAGCTCCAGGTTCAGGGAAAGACCCTGGTGTGTGTGTGTCCTCTCTATCTAGAAGCAGTCCTTTGTCCCTCAGTGCAGATATCCCGTCTTCCTCTCCCTTGTTCTCTTCTCCTTCATCCTCTAGTCTTCTATTTCCTGCCCTTTGTCCTTCAGGGGTGTATAAATCTTCGTGCTTGGGAAAAACAAAAACAAAAAACATTTGAAACAGATGATTCGAGTAGTTGTATGAATGACCAACAAGCAAAACAACAACAACAACAACACCTGTTCAGCATTTTTGGCCATGAAAGAAATGCAAATAAAACGTCAAAGGTCCTGCCACATGCTTGGCATGGTGCTCATTGCGCAGTGGCCCCACATGTTGGAGAGGGTGAGCTTGGCTTGCTTGCACACTTGTAGTGGAGATGAGGGTGAGCTTGGCTTGCTCTGACACTTCTAGTGGAGATCTCATAAGAGCTGTTTTGGAAAATAATTTGCAGTCTTAAAATTAAGTGTATATTGTTGTCTTATCTGGTAGACTCCTACCTTTTATTTTGAGGGAGGGTCTCCCACTTGAGGGTTGAGTTTGCCTCTTCAGCTGGCTTTTCCCAGCATCCTGTCCTCCTGTTAAACACCGGGGTTACAGGCAGGTCACCATGTGGATGCCGGAGATCCAAACTCTGGCCCTCATGCATGTGGGTAAAGACTGAGCCAGCACATGGATAGACATCAGCACAACCAGATGCACACAAAACACAATCTGTTGATTCCTATATACAATTTAAAAAATGCATAGACTAGTGAGGTGGCTCAGCAGGTAAAGATGCTTTCTGACTTCAGCCACTGGGACCTCCATCGGGGGATGAGAACTTGTCCTCTGCCCTCCATGTGCAGGGTGGTATGTGTGCATGAATGCAGGTGTTAAAGTGAGTGTATTACCTGGACGAAGCCGATTAGAAACAATTAAATCTGAAAACAAGATCCTCATCTGCGACCAGGCTTGATTTCACACTCCTTTACTCAGCACTGGGAGGCAGAGACAGGTGGGTCTCAGAGGTTTGAGGGCACTGTTAGAAGTTACAGCACAGTTGCGTGGGGACAGCTCAGTGGTAAAGTGCTTGATGGACCTTGATGGCACTGTTAGCTCCAGGTTCAGTGGGCTCTGTCCTAGAAAATGAGGAGCTTGTGGCCTGAAGATGTGGGTCAGGGGGTAAAACTTGTAGCAAGCAAGCTTAGGGCCTGAATCTGAATCCTCAGATCCCACATAAAGCCAGGCACGGTACAGTGTGTCTATAATCCTGTTTCTGTGGTGAGATTGGGGCCAGAGATAGAAGGGTCCCTGAACAACAAAAGAGCCTGTCTCACACCAGGTGGACGCAGCGACCAACACCCTAGGTTGTCCTCTGACCTCCGTGTGTGGGCTGCGACGTGTGTGTGCATACGTAGATGCGCACTCACAGACAAGGTGAAGATGGACTTCTGTCCTCCACAGGCATGTGCACGTACGTGCGCCTGTGTATGGGAATGCAGCCCCCTCCTCTGTACAGGAAAGCCAGTTAGGCTTGATTGTCAGAGAAGCAACATTTTCCCAAGTGCAAATTGTTATATGTGTGTTTACCTGAATTTAATCATAATTGGGTATTCTGTGTTTTCTTTGTTCAATCTGGCAACCCAAGCTCATAGCGAATTAGGTTGGTTGCCTCCAGATTTTGGGTTTCATCTGTTTTAATTATTGCATACTTTAGTAACTTGAATAAAGTAATCCTAAGAAGTTAGGGGATGTTTTAATTTTAACTCTGCCTCATTCTTTCTCCAGTAAACCAAACAGTAGGTACTCTGCGTATCTGTCTGCGGTACCTTCTGTTCTCCACCGTTTGGTAGCACAGAAGTCATGAAGTTACTTGCTGTTAGTATATATGTGTTCAGTATGTGAATCCCTGCTAAAGGTGGAATCTGTAATGTTGTGTTCTTTGAACAGGTCCTTCAATTCTGCATTATGTGCTGTGTGCATTTTCGAGGACTTAAGTGTAACTTTTGCTGTCTAATAATCTCACTGTCCAGTTAGTTAAGGATTTGGATGTGTAAATACAGCAGAATGCCACAAAAAGCCGTCAGTGTTAGGCACACAACTTGTGTCAGAAGGACTTCAAGTAGAACAATACCTGTTGGGGGATTAAAGAAATGGGATGGAAAGCCTTTAGTGGAGGGAAAGGATTTGGGCAGACAAGTAGGCTACAAAATGACATGAGTCTTTTTTTTTTTAATATTTATTTATTTATTTATTATGTATACAATATTCTGTCTGTGCAGGCCAGAAGAGGGCACCAGACCCCATTACAGATGGTTGTGAGCCACCATGTGGTTGCTGGGAATTGAACTCAGGACCTTTGGAAGAGCAGGCAATGCTCTTAACCACTGAGCCATCTCTCCAGCCCCGACATGAGTCATTTTGACATAGGAAGGCTTCCTCTAGGATCTGGGTCACACAGCTTGTGTGTGGTTCTGTAGTGAGAAGCTGGCAAAGGTGGCGAGCCAGTTTGATGGGGCTGCTATCTAAAACATCCGAT